TTTCTCAAAATTGTCGGTATCTTTTTTGTTTACAGTGCAAACAATAATGCATAGGCCATCAAATACCACCAAAAGAAAGCTCTATTTGTGAGAAAAAAAGGACGTAAATTTAATTTGGGTGCAGCATTGCATGACCGTGCAATTGTCAGTTAAAGTAACACACAGTGGTTAATATAAAACTTAACTACACCTGTCACACTAATGATGCATTACCTGAGTCCAACAATCTGGCCACACAATTTGCCTAGAGTTACAAACATGGGCCCAGTGGCATTGATGAAACCACGCAGTTTGCGGGGGGCAGCCTCTCCCGCGTACTGAGCGTGAATATTAATTCCCAGACCTGAGTAGGAAATACAAGAAGTCGCAAATGAAATGTTAGCAAACGCAAACATTACTGCTATGTCAAAATTCTAAACAGTTAATTTAAGATGGTAATCTCAGAAGACAGCCACAAGACAGATTTATCTTTTATCATACAATTTTCAAATACTACAAAAGTGGTAAATCAACCTCTTTGTGAAGTATACACTGTTAAGCAAAAGGACTGAGTTAAAATATATCTTTAAATACACTCCAGGGACTTTTATACTGCCATCAGTAGCCTTTGAATTCATTCAATCAGTCTCTTGAAATGAACATTTTGATGTAGGTTCTGTATTGATTTGTTGCTTGTGTGTGGGAAAAAATATAAGTCCTCATGCACACGGGATGTTTTTACAGCTGCTGTTTTTGACTTTTGGTGTTTTTTTCTACAGCTAGTAAACCCGAAGCATGTTATAATATGTGTCCATGCACACATAGACTCTAATCAACATTTTTTGGCTGGAAAACCCCCCCAGGACTAATGGGTTTCTAGTGGAGTTTTTTAGCTGTAAAAAATGCTCTAACGCGGTAAAATGCAGAAAACCAGCATTTTTGGACTTTTTTTTACCAAAACATTTTTTCCCGATAAAAAAAAGCTAAAAAACGGAAACACGGAAAAATGTGGGAAAACGCGGCAAAACACTAACCCAAAAACGCTGAAAAACTCACGTTTTTAATGCGACTTTACACAGCTAACGGTACCAGCGTTATCAAAACGTCCATTGTGCATGAGGAATAATGATAGGTGAGGTAGACGAGTTGCTTTCTCAAGATCCAGAACCATTAAAAAACACTGTCCAGTTACAGCAAATGAAGGACATGAAATACTGTTTATTGCATCAAGTAAAACTTCTGTCTATCATCCAAAAGCTAACTTACTAAAACTGGAATGTGCAAAATCTGGTGCAGCTCTTCCTAAAAATGTAAAGCTATAAGTTAGAAGCTGATAGGCTACCATACATAGTTGCACCAGATTTTGCATTCTCCAGTTTTAGCAAATCAACCCCATTGCCTTCTATTATTCTCTCTCTACCAAGATATAGTACTGATGTTATTCAGCACTATTCTCCTCTGGCCAGCAGGGGGAGAGTTAAAGCCAAGCAAGCCGATAGACTTCTATGCAGAACGCTGAGAATCCTGGGAGTTATAGTTTGAGACGGCAGCCATATAATGGGAAGAATATATTCCTTACACTACATATCCCAATAGGAACTGTGCAGTCGGAGGAGTGGAGAGATGATTTTTATTAAACTGCCTGGGAATGTTTTTCCTCTTGGCACTGAGGGAGCCACCTGCCAGCAAGAGCCCCAATACAGCAAAGATCCATGGCTGAGACTGGGATTGAGGACACCGGGGCTGGCTCAGCACCTACCACATTGCAGCACCTACACTGCTGCTGCAGGGAGACTGGAGTTTCCACTCAGCCTCTGCTCCCCACTGCTGACCACCAAAGGCTTTCAGGAAGAAACCAAGGGGCCCCTTCTGCAGGAAAAGGCCACTGCAGCATCCCAGTGACTGGTGAGAGGGCTATTTGCCCATTGCTGATACTGCTAGCAGGGACTGAGCCACTGAGAGCAGGACACCAAGTGTACCCAGTCCATGCCGCACCAATACTGCACTCTGTACTGTGCTTATTCCAAATCTAGACTGCACCTATACCGACCCTATACCTCATAATACTGAACCTTTACCGCATTTGAACCACATCTACCTTGCACTTATATATGGTGCCTATACTGTACCTATACTGCATGCAACCTAACTGGGACTGTTGTTAAATGCCCCAATGTTCTTTAAGTGCCCCAACAATAGCCGGCAGAAAAACATCTCAAAGGACTGCCTCTCCTATAATTATTATTCTGAAAATCCACTTTGTTCCTCTGCCCTCTATTCTCTACATCCTCCTTTTATTTTGGACAGTGCATACCCTGTTGGTCTAGGACTAGCATTGCCTGTATAAATGCACTCTGACAGTATTGTTCCAGCACTTGATAGATTAAATTTTACTATTGCTCACTGCTGCACTTGAGGTGGCCTTACTACTGTTTATGCTGATCAAAGCACCAAATGTCATCTTATGTCTAGTCCTTACTGTGCTAAATTGTGTTATTACCATTGTTAATCCATTTTGTGCTAGCAGTTACCAGCCATTTTTGGTGACAATATATTAACCACTTGCTGACCGCCCACAGTACATTTAGTACTGGAGACTGGCAGCAGCAACAGGCAACGCAATGTACTGGTGCGTCGCTCTGCCTGTACTAACACAGGGGGCCTCTGCCCCCCCCACCCCAATCTTGGTGTGACTAGATGCTTTAATGGCAGAGGAGCGATCTAGAGTCTAATAGACCCCAGATATCTAAGAAAAGAGTGCCTGTCACTGCCTATTGCTACCACAAGGGATATTTACATTCTTTGTGATAACAATAAAAGTAATTAAAAAAAGTTAAAGGGACAGTTTAAAAATAAAAAAGGCAAAATAATAAAAAAAAAAGAAAGGTAACTCAGAAAGTGCCAAACATGGACCGTTCCACTAAATGGAGCCACCCACAACTGCGCACAGTGCACACAGGTATAGTGCGGTGGTGCAGGTTTTTATGGGTTAAATTAGGCAGTGAGGAAGCAATATAATGTCTCCTAACCACCTGTCAAACACCCAGGGTGGTCTGAAAGCGCGGCACCCCTGGGCTCCTGCATTTCTTCCCCTCCAGTAGAGGGAATTGCCTGTGGACAGAGCGGTTGATCAGTGCTGCTAGTGGGGGAAATGACTGGAACCAGTCTTCTGTGTGGCTGTCCCTGCAGCAGATGCCAGCTCTCCGCTTCTCCCGTTGGCTGCTGTGGGGCACAGGGGTTCTTCAGATGTCATACTTACCGGCCCCCTCCTTTCCCTAAAAAGCACAGTAAATAATTGGTACTGATCACTCACTGAGTTCATTCATAACTGTGTTACTATGCTTCAGCTTGTTAATGAAATGGAAGCCTCAGAGCACATTCATTCATCTCCAGTGCACCTGAGGCTGGAGAGAAAGGGAATGGGGAATCCAGTTCCCAGTCCCTTTTTCTGTCCCAAAAGTGAGACATCAGGGGTCTGTTTAGACCCCTGATATTTCACCAAAGACACCCCCAACAGCATTGTTGAAAGAAATGTAAAAGATTATTTTTAAAAAGTTTTAAAATTTTAAAAAAATAAAAATGTAAAAAATAAAACAAAATGGTAAATAAAAATTAATACAGGGGGTAAAAGGGTCAGTGTATACAGGAGGGAATGTGTGTAGAGAGGGTGAGACAGTGTGTACAGGGGTGAATTTAATTTATGATAATTCCCTGGTTGTGTTTATATGTTGTTTCTAATCAGACTAAAAGGCCTTGTCCAATATAACATAATTTAGCTACACCTAACTTTTGCTGCGGCACGCATAGCATGCCTCAGGTCACCATCTCCCTGGTAGGGGTCCCTGGGCAAAGTAATGCATGATGCTAACACCTTCTGAAAAGTGATCCACTGTGGATTGTTTTCATAGGGCAAAACAAATGTGTATATTTATCCAAAGATTCTGGCTACAAAATATTGATTGATATAGAAGAGGCTGGGACTTTAATGCTGCAGAGAAGTTAGAAGTCCCCACTCTGCCTGCAAGCACCCATGCTGAATTGGCAGGGCTGGGCCCAGCATTAGCGCTACCCCCTTGTTGGCAGCCCTGGATTTGACTTCAACAAAATTAATTCTAATTTGTTGATTACTTAAGAATGATGAATTCTTTTGAATAAGAATGCTTGGTCGTTATAATTTTTCTCTGTTACAGCAACATATATTTGGAATAACCACTTGAATGTGAATATGCCTTTTTTTTTATACAGACCTGCACTAAGGCCACAAAGGAAACGACCGACCAAAACCATTTCAAAGTAACCTGTTACTTGGCTGAAGCCTACAAGCAGAGCACTGGCAATTGGCAGAATTGAACTGACCAGCTGACACTTCTTCCTATAAAAACACATGGGCATTAGAAAACAAACACAGACACACAACAATGGCTAAAAAATATTTCACACATTAGATGTGAAATGATAGAGTGGAAAATAATTAAAATAATTATCAGATTTGTGTTTTGTCTGTGTACCTGTTGGGGAATTTTCTTATTCTGGTGGCAATGACAGCAATACAATTATAATAGAAGTTCTTATCTTCTATGACTAAACTTATTTACATTTTAAATTCTGTATAAAGCCCTGTTAAAGAAACTTTGCTCACTTCCTTGGTGTCTTGGTGACCACACAAGAAACGGGGGAAAATTACCCTAATGATTTCAGAAACACCTATATAATTCAAATAGAGGATCTAACCATCCTCACTCTGTCCAATACTACAAATTGGTAGAAGATTACAAAAAAGGGTAGGTTTTAAATTGTTATTAAGAGATTCAAAGAATTTGAGGTTTTGGTAAAGTTTAGTGTTTGTGTCAATGTGCTTTAGACTTTGACATCAGTTTAACCGCCTTCCACCTGCCATATAGTACAATGACGGGCACAAGGCGGTTCTCTCGTTCTGGGAGGACGTCATATGATGTCCTCCCATTTCTAACCGCGCATGCACGGCTCCGGGAGCACGCAGTGCGGCGATTGGTGGTGCGCTGTGTCCCTCGGACACAGCGGATCACTGATCAACGGAAAGAGCCAAAGATGTCGGCTCGGTCATGTGATCAGCTATGTCCAATCACAGCTGATCACATGTAAATAGACAAATGCTGGTTATCGGTATTTCTCTCCTCACGAGCTGTCACGCTGACAGCTCGAGAGTAGAGGAGAGCCGGTAATCGGCATTACTCAGAGGGGACATGTACACTGATCATCAGAGCACTGATGATCAGTGTGCCCTGATGATCTGTGTAGCCCCAGCAGTGCCACCTGTCAGTGTCCATCAGTGCCATCTGTCAGTGCTCATCCATGCCACATATCAGTGCCTACCAGTGCACATCACTGCCACATATCAGTGCCCATCTGAGCTGCCTTTCAGTGTCACCCATCAGTGCCAGTCAGTGCCACCTATCAATGCCAGTCAGTGCCACCTATCAGTGCTGCCAATCAGTGCCACCTATCAGTGCCAGTCAGTGCCGCCTATCAGTGCCAGTCAGTGCCACCTATCAGTGTGCATCAGTGTCGCCTATCAGTGCCCGTCAGTGCTGCCTATCAGTGCCGCCTAACAGTGCCAGTCACTGCCACCTAACAGTGCCAGTCAGTGCCGCCTATCAGTGCCCGCCTATCAGTGCCATATATGAGTGCTGCCTTTCAGTGCCCATCAGTGATGCCTGTCAATGCCCAACAGTGCCACCTACCAGTGCCTCCTCATCAGTGCCCATCAGTGCCACCCATCAGTGTCCTTCAGTGCAGCCTATCAGTGCCCATCACTGCAGCCTCATTAGCGCACATCAGTGAAGGAGAAAAATCACTTATTTATAAAATTCTATAACAAAAACAAAAAAAAAAAGTTTTATTTTTCAAAATGTTCAGTGGTTTTTAGTTTGTTTAAGAAAAAATAAAAAAACCAGAGGTGATTAAATACCACCAAAATAAAGCTCTATCTGTCACAAAAAAATGATAAAATTTTCATATGGGTACAGTGTTGCATGACCGCGCAATTGTCATTCAAAGTGCAACAGCGCTGAAAGCTGGAAATTGGCCTGGGCAGGAAGGGGGTATAAGTGCCCTGTAGGCTAGTGGTTAAGACACTTCTGAAATCATTCAGTATTCATTGATGGATACATTTGATCTGCAGTTGACCACTTTCAGACCCTCATTTGACCTGCTTTCACATTTATTTAGACTTGTGTGGGTAATGTATAATCCACTTAAAGCAAACAAAAGCCCTTAGACAGTTACTTCTAAACTAAACAGTGTATATTTTTCTTTTAATACTTACTTTCCAAACCTCCCAGTCAGGTGTGCAGATGCAGTGGAACCTATGAGACCTCCAATACTGAATACAGATACCACAAAAGACCATATCAATGTAAGTGTCCCATCACTAATCTGAGTCCTAAATCTTTTCACCCATGTGTCATTGATGTATTGCTTGATGAACTGGAAACATTGAAAATATATCATGTTAGCAGAAGTAGAAGTAAATTGCTCTTAGTGAGCCTGGATGTAAATAGCATAAGTGCTCTTAAAGTTAGTTCTTAAATTCAGGTAACTACTAGCATAAAGTATCTAAAATGAGTCTTAATCTGTGGTTGTTGGCGTCATACTTACTGGAGATGGAGAATTCAGCACAGACAGGTGGTAGCCAAACTGAAATGTGCCTCCAATTCCTAGAACAAAGATCATCAGGAACAGGCCCCTATAGTGTACCTGGCATAGTAAAAAGACTCAAATTTCAAATTATGACTCCAAACTGGTACACATTATCACTGTTTAATTGATCAATCTAAATTTTTGTAGACTAATATTAAATTTAATGGCCAATTCACCCCAAACTACTATTTTAGTATTTAATGGATTAGACTGGGTAAAGGATAAGTTCACCTGTAGAACATGTTACATATTTCACCTGTTTTTAGGGTAGAACATGTAACATGTTCCAGCTCCTGCCTCCTCTCCCTCCAATTCCTCCCTCCTTGTGACAGCAGGCAGGGGATCCTCTCCCTGCACCCGCCGTCAGAATTGAAAAACAGTGCCGCTTTATGGAGCTCCACCCACATGGCCACGAGTTCTGTGAATAAATGCACTACAAGTAATGCACTACAAATCAAAACAGCAGTAGTCAGAATCTGGAGCAGCCGTACATTGCAACCAACCAGAGTCTATATTTCAAAGCAAAACTGGATAATTTGAAGATAGAAACTGGCTGCCATGATTGCTTTCTGCTCCAATTTTGATAAATGTCCCCCAATTCGCTGTGGTTTCTTCATCTGTTCTAATTAATGATCATTAGAAATTTCCTTTTCAGGGGCCTGGAATTTAAAGGATAATTTCACCTTCTAAAAAATAAATAATAAATGCACTTTTTTTGCAGTTAAAAAATTAGCATTTACTATTTTTTTTAGGAGTCTGGAAAGCAGGACTCCTGCAGACTGTCAGTTTGAGCTGTTTTTCCGTACATCGTACAGCCAGGCAGTTTCACACTGACAGGAAGAATTGATGAACTACTACGGCGCTCGACAGCACCATGGTAGTTCATTGAGAATTACAAGCCGACATCCGCAAAGGATACTGGTACTTGTAGTTGATTCATTCCCAGAACTCTGTGAATGAATGATGCTGCAGTGTGGGTGGAGCCCTGCATGGCCACGCTCTTTTCAAAAAGTGACAGCTGGTATAGAGAACTTCTCCCTGTACTTCTGTCACACATAGGGCTTGGATCACCGAGCTGTTGCAGAAGCAGAAACATGTTATAATTTCCACCCTAAAAATGGGTGGAACATGTAACATGTTCCCAAAGGTGAACATATCCTTTAATTTAACAAAAATTATGTTCAGGTAATAACATTTAAAAAGTTGGATGCTTGAAGAATCTCTGTTGTTTAAAAAAAAAAATCAATTGCAAATACCCACAGCAGCCTACAACAGCCAGTTGTTGTATAGGACCTGGGTTGTTCAGACAAAGCACCAATTTACAGGTAGCATGGATGTTTGCTGCTACTTCCTAATCCACACATATCCCTAGTCACCAGTCAATATTATGAGGTCCCTCATTGGCTAATTGGAATTTACAGGAGACAAGAAAGGACAGTAAACTGTTATCGCTATCGGGGTTTGGGTTTTGGAGGCTGCTGTAATAACATATAGACACTTTTTTTTTCTAGCTATATCCAGGCCTCCAAAAATGTATTTTTTTAGTTATCATATGAGGGTATGGTTGATGGAACCATAGCACCTCATGTCCATTGTTTTCTAATGACTTTAACATTGCCAGGTATGTGGATGTTTCTGTCTTAAAACCTTTTTTTCGTGCATGGCTTCTTTCCACCGAGACCTGGTGAGGGAGAAACCACAGAGTGTCTTTAATTTATTTACATTTTTTTATACATCTCAACATATTCAGCTTCTGTAATTAGAAATGTACCAGAAATACAGAACATAATACATTTCAGGGTGGCCATTACTAAATGTAACAATCATTTTTTTTTTGTATTTATAAAAAGTTTTTTATCTGCGAACTTTATCACAAATATCTTTGTGGATTTCTAATGTATTCTGTATGTAAAAGTCATTTTGAGAAGGTTTTCTACAAATATGGCTACCTTCTAGCTAGTATAAAGGGGCGTTTCTATGAGGAGAGAAGAAAAAGGAGCATGTTTCATGCCATGATAAAAAAAAAAAATCACATATTAAATGATAGAGAAATAAAACCTTTCCATTGGTAATTTCATGCAGAAAAACAAGGATTCCTCACCCATATGATATGTATATTTGTAAATTGTTTTTAGTACATGTTTTATATTGATGAGAATATGGATTTAGTGATATTTCATATTAGTTGAAAGAACTCACCAGCTCTGAAGATGTGGACATCATTGAATCTCTTCTTCTAGGAATGTTTCACTTTTGAGAAAGCCAGCAATTTATTCCTCTAGTTTCAGTATGAATTTATAATCAACCAATGGGAAAGAGATGGAAGTCCCCCTGCTACCTTAAAAACTGTATAAATCAGAGTGTTGAAGACACTCTAAAGACAAATATTTATGTAGCTAATGACCACACTGTGGGTGGAGATACAGAGAGGGTGTATGACAAAATATTAACGGTGCTTACATAGACAACGTCACAAGATCAGTGAACCTGAAAGTCTGCAGAGTAAGTACAGTGATGCAGAAATGAAAATCCACTATACTTAAATGGGAGGCAATGGTATTTGTTAGGGTAGGGCACTGTTTATTTGTGCTAAGACAGCTTTTTAATTCAGGGGTACCCTTGAAATAACTTCCAGGTGTTTTGGAGCCCCCCAAAAAAAATATGTTTAGAGCTCATGATAAGTTCTTAAGATCAGTAGGCTATAGATATAATAAATAGATGATAAAGAATATGGCATATTGACACACTCACCTGTGCCTAGTTCCAGCTCCAGGCCTTCCTTTCTGTGCAAGGCTGGTGGTGTTCAGCCATTCAGATACTGCAAGCCTTCCTAAAGTCAGCTTGTTGCTTAGGGTTCAAGCAACAGATCAGTATTCTAACTGCTGAATCCTGGTGTGTCTAGAGGTTGCCTTTTGCTGCTTTAAGATCCCAGTGTTACCCCTGTGGCTTCTGTGTTCTCACATAGCATGCCACTGTATTCTCCTGCAGATTCCAGTGTATTCCATGTGAGCTTCTATTCTTCCAGCACTTGTGTGGCCTGTGTACACCCTGTGAGCTTTCAATGTCCCTGCACTCCACAGACTCTCACCCCTGTGTTCCTGTGATTCAAGAACCCCAGTGCTAATGAGCGGAGATCATTATCAGTTCAGTGTATTGTGTATTGCTGGTGAAGCTGGTGTCTGTCTAGACACCTCTCTTGTGAGTTGTTTGGCATTTTAAAAAAATATACATGTGTTTAAAACGTATTGCACCATCAATCTTTTTCCTTTGTCCCTGAGTCCCTCCATATATGGAGATACGGAGTTAATGGAGAGATGCATCATGAGATCTATGGCTGTAGAGTATTGATTATTTCAATGAAATCCGATTACCATTAGTATTTACCTGGATGTGATTGAAAAGTTACTACAATTAACACCTGGATACCGTTTACCCATCACTCCCAGAGCAAAAGCGCTATTGCTGTTCTATAATTTGAGCAGCATATAGCTCTGGTGAGTCCATCTAATTTATCTGGTGGTGGATTATTCACAATTTTATGAATTCACAGAGGAGATATATTTTTTATTATAATTTTTTGATTTTTAATTTTTCACAAATTAATTATGGATATTTAATTATGTTGATATATGAATTCACAGAGGAGAGATACGGTATATATAAAAAAAAATTTTTGATTTTGGATTTGCACAAATTATTTATGGACACTTAATTATGTTGCACAGATTGATTATGGACATTTAATAATATGGATATATATTTTATTTAGCGCATGCCTTTATTATATATTGTTCACTTTGCCAATAATATTTTTTGGTTGGGTTTTGCTGCTATCATATAA